CATACATAGTGTTCAGGATCATAGAATCATAGAATGGCCTGGGTTGAAAAGGACCTCAAAGATCATCCTGTTTCAACCCCCTGCTGGGGGCAGAGTTGCCAACCACTAGATCTTAGCAATCCTGCATCATTCAAACAAAATGTGGTTTTATGCAGTAAAATGTAAAGCAATTCATTTAGCAACATGGAATGAAGCCAAAGTTACAGACCTCACCCCGTTAAAGAACAAGTCTGAAAAACATTATGGCAGTAGAGCAATTCAACATGAACTCAAAAGGTGATTCTGTGATAAAGCACAACCAGTCTTACCTTGGGACTTTCAAACTGGTGATTAGTGAGTAGGTCAAAGGAAGTTATTTTACTGGATACAGAACTGTGGCAGGTAATATTGATTCCAACATCTGTTTTCTGATGTCCATATGTTTAAAGGATATTAACAGCAAAGAGCCTCCAGAAGGAGAGAAAACTTAGTGGTGATGCACGAGCTTAGCTCTTTAGCTTATCAAAAAGAATACTGAAGGGAGTGGATTATAGTACAGAAGTACCTTTGCTGTAGGCAGAAAATAGAAAGGTCCTGCAGTCTAGTGGAGAAAACTATAATACAAACTAGTGGCTGAAAATTAAGGCTGGGCACATTCAAATCAGAAAATTAAGGGCTTCTTTATTTTTTTATTTTAATAGTGAAAGTGATCAACCACCGGAACGCATGACCAAAGGAAGAGGTCATTCTCCATCTCATGACATCTCCAAATCGGGCTGTGCCTCAGCTCAATGCAAATTACTGGCCTCATTACAGACGCAACTGCACAGAATTTAATGGCCTGTGATGCACAGGAGGCTGTACCAGATGATCTAATGATCGCTCTTCACCTTAACCTCTGCGCATCACTGAATAAAAGGAATGAATTCTGGTACTTCAGAAAGGTATTGCAAATTGGGAAGGGATGAACTGGAGCTTTTGGCGTCCAAAGAGAAGTGAAGGATGCTTCTAACAACTAGGAGCTTGTTCAGGCTCTAGTAATAACATTAAAGTGCAATAAATGGATTTATTTTTGTATGGATTCCCATTGCTAAATTCTTTCCTACCAGCGATCTTGGAAAACAACATTTCTTTATTTCCTTCTGTGTAAATTTATGCTTTCAAGACATTCATTAAAGCAAATGAATGCCTTCATTTGCTAGCAAATGAAGCAAATCGTATGGAGTTTCCTATTATTATCTGTGGAATATAGTTAATATTAAGCTCAGTTCAAAGTCCACTGAAGTTAGGAGAGTCTCCACAGACTTTTTGCCATGGAAGTTTTATCAGGTTCAGTGACATTTGGCAGTCACTGTGCAGTTTTCTTGTATCTAGACACAGCAATTAGAATAGACATCAGCTACCTTGGCATAGATTTGTGTGCACACCTGGGAAACCCATCTGCATTGGTTCAAATGCTGCACTCTGTGGGTTGTTTTTTCATAAAGCATACGGAAGCATTTTTTAGATGACATTTAAGAGTCTGTTTCCCATTTCTGGAGAAAACTATGTTTTGCCAAGATTCAGGTTATTCTGTAGATACACCACCTTTTCAATAACCAGGACAATACTGACTTCCATCACAAAGTTCACTTTTGCAATACTAGTACTCAGTGATTTGTTTTTTGAATTTATCTGGTTCTCACCAAAACAAGAAACATTATTCTAGAAGACCTGGAGGGAATTCACCCTGTTCAGAAATGCTCGTTTTTGTCTGTCACTCCTGCTTCCCTGCTTCATCAAATTTAGCTTGCTACTATTTCATCAAGCTTCCGTGAAAACACCCTGGAGGTATACTTGAAAAAGGTGTGTTTAAGCAAAAATCTTGGATGTGCCCTGCTCAGAGCCAGCTCTACTCCAGCTGATTTCACTGAGAACTGCACATCAAATTTTCTCAATGTCAGTAATTTTTGCTTAAATGTAAGTGGCAGCAATATTGAGTAATGTGCATTAGGGAAACTAGAAAACATATAATAAGGCCGCAGTTCTTCAGCAGATTTCCTATTATTTGGCTGCTTCTATTGTAATATTCTTGTCTATAGCTGATGTGTGAAAAGAAGCATCTACCATTCTATACATGGTACTGGTACATACTTTCCTAGGTAGCACTGTTTAATAATAATAGTAATAATAATAATAATATCACAATAATAATTATATGTTCCACAAGCAGAAGAGATGATATATCTACTAGGATGAAGAAGGCATTTACCTAACAGGAAGCTAACTGAGTGAAAACAGAAGAGATTAGAATGAAAACATGTAGATGCAGGACACCTGAAGACAGTATAATATAATAAGATAGCTTTAAAAAATATGTTATTTATTTAACTGGTCTCTGAAACTGTATGTGCCTATATATACATATTTAATAAACACTTTGCCCATTCAGAATGCATGACACTATGCAAAAATGTTCAGGTACAATCCAAGTGGACCAACTATGCTTTTATTCTCAAAAGATAAAGAAAAGAAGAATGACCTATTGTATGGGAACTGTTGAGTCACAGCCTGAACCTCTGATTGATCACCCAAGGCAAGCACTGAGTCAGCTATGGAGCACAGGTGAAGGCGATTCAGGTGTGTGATTGCAAGGGAAGGAGCCTGGCTGCACCTCTCCTAGAGCTCATTTAAGGGCTGACTGCTGCTGGGGAAGGTTCTCTTTTTAGAGATCTGTCTTTTTGGAGTTTTCTACTGCAAGCTTAGGACATGGATGAGCATTTCATTTTTGATTGTCACTTTCCACCTCAATAATCTTCCTAACTCTAAACTATCAAATGCCATCTTAACCATGCCATGCTTCAAACTGTACATTTGTTAATGGTACACCCATAGAAATGCATCATTGATACACTGACTCCTAATGGATATCCTTTTTGATTTGCAGTAACTGGCTGTCAGTAGAGAGCAGATACTTTGGGGGGTAGGGGGGAAAGAGAAGGGGAGCCCACAGACTGGGAAGCTCATCATAAATTAGAAAATATGTGACTGAGTTCCATGTCCTGATTCTGATACTTCTGTGCCTTGAAGCCATGCAGAGGATTTCTCTTTAGTGCCTCTGGTCTGCCTTCAGTAGCTCTTCACCATACAGACATGTCATGAGCATCTTAGATTGGATTGTAATGAGGAACCATATAGAGAGTGAGCTGAGTTAGGTACAAGAGACAGCAGGACAATATCTGCCCTTATTAGGGTACAGATAGTGTCTTGAAAAGCCAGGATGTGGATCCCTGCTGTTAGGATATGAACACAAGGATTATTAAATGAATGGGTGTCATAACAGAAATAATAGCACTGACCTCTAGTTTTCATCAGTCTTAATATTGTTCCCTCATTATAACAGACTATTTACCCTCTGGCCTCATTTTATGCACATGGGAATCAGATTATTGCCTCATAAAACAAAGGAGCAGTGAGATTATCTCTTAAGTAATGGCCCCAAACATACTGTTAGCACAGTGTCACAGGCTGGCACTGTACAGCCAAGGAGCATAACTCCTTTCATTAGGGCATGGTCCCAGGAATGTGGGCAGTGGAGCAGGTAGAATTGTCACAGTATGAGCAAGCACAACTTCCCATCTACCCTCGGAGCAGGCAGTCCTCTATATGTTATCCCTGGAACTTGCCTTACTTCAGAAAACTCGGATCCATTTAGAAGTGATAGCTGTTGCTTCTGTGCCAAATTGCTTTATCAGGTTTAGATAGCTGATTTTCCCCCCCGTCACCCTCCAGTATTTGCTGATAAAATGTTTGCACACTGTTACATGAGAAAATACTGAGCAGTTAACAAAGGAAGAAAGAAGGAGAGAGAAAGAAGAGAAAGAGGAAAAGGGGAAAAAAAGGAGACAAAAACCTTGATAATTAAAAAGCTGGCATTTTGAAACCAGAATGTCAAACAACTTGATACTGTTGACATTGAACCCTCCCTGTCCTTCATTTTCTTGGTGTTTAAGGCAGGCAGAGAGATCAAGCCAAGGATGTGCAGCCAGACACTTCTGCTGGGGATTCTCATGACTGGCTCCAAGCATGCAGCAGAGACTGAAGGCTAAGGAGACAAGGATCCGTGGATATAATGCCAGCACTGTCTATGGGTTCATTTCTGCTGCACATTGGCCCCTCTCCTCCTCTGCATTCATTGTTACTATTACTATATCTTGGGGGAGAGACCATCATAAGCTGCATATTTATTAATCCTTCTTACCTGCTTCTCTTTTTGTTCATTCTGTCTAGCTTGAGGAGACAGAAATGCAGTAGCACATCATAGGATTCCTTACACAGCACATTTTTATCCACAAGTGCTCTACTAGGTGAGTGCTAATATTACAATTATCATCCCTGTTTGTCAAATCAGAGCAGTGAGGCTAAGAGATAAGCTCAAGGGCATGTGGCAGGCAGGTGATACAGGGTGGAATTGATCTCACGGTTTCTGTGCAGTGTGTTGGCTATTACATGATGAGCCTTTTAATCCAAATAGCCAGGTGGAAAGACATCTCTTGTTCCTAATCACAGATACTGTGATCACCAAAAGGCATCCTTTTGACTAGCAGTGCTCTCTAGGAGCTGCAGGTCTCCCTTTGTCAGTGGACAAACCAGTGCAGTGTAATAACATCTCTCCAGCAATAGAGTTACTTTTGTATCAGGACTCTTCAAAGCTCCTTCCCATCCACTGCTTCCCACAAAGATTTCTGGACTGGCTGGGTAAGTGGGCTGCAAAAAAAGGGTTCTGGTATCAGGAAATAGATGTGTGTATTGAGAAGTTTAGAGTAGGTGACAAAACCTCTGATTCTTAGCAAATTCCATTAAACACCTCTGCCTCCCTGTATGGGAACTATCGAATCACAGCCTGATCCTCTGATTGATCACCTGAGGCAAGCACTGAGTCAGCCATGGGAGCACAGGTGAAGGCGATTCAGCTGTGCTACTGGAACGGGTGGAGCCTGGCTGCATCTCTCCTAGACCCCATTTAAGGGCTGACTGTCACTGGGGAAGGATCTTTCTCTGGGGATTGCTCCTCTTGGAGTCTTTTTCTGTAAGTCCAGGACAAAGGTAAGTTTTTTTTCCCCATTATTTCCAATTATCCCTTTCCACTGTAATAATCTTTCCAGCTATATGCTCTCTAAAGACCAGTCTAACTTCTCTGCATACTTGTCAATTATACATCTGTATACTCATTGATTATCCACTCCTAGATCTGGGTTTGACCCCATCCCCCAGGCAGTCAGAGCTTTCCATGATTGTACAGACACAGCAGTGAATTTTTTATTTCCCTGAAAGTACCGGTGTCTGCAGAACATCACACTGTTGATTTTTATATCTCAATTTTAGCTTTGTTTATCTTCTGAGAACAGTTATAAAAATAAAATCCAATATATATATTTTTTTCAAGTGCTGATGAGGATGGGAGTCTGGATGTCTCAGGGATTAGGTAATGGGAGAGAGAGAGAGTCTTTGGCTTTAAGTCATCCATTCAATTGCAGCTAGGTCAGACGTGTGTTAGCATTTATACTGTCCGCTATTCTATGTACTAAGAAGTTGGTGGTCTTATTCTGGTGCCTAGCTTGAAAGGAATGTATTGCTTATAATGTGAAGAAGATTTATTGGCAACAAAGCTGAGTATGTGAGCGTGGAAAACTATGCGGGCCTGAAACTTTTGGGCTCTGCCAGGATTTCACATCACTGGGAAATGCTGTGGATAATGCTGACCATGACACATAACTCTTACAGGTAACGAACCTAAGAAAAATGTCTTCTCAAAGGCAGTCATCATCACTTTTAAAGAGGATGAACATTAGTATTGTTTTCCTTTGATAATTAGAAGTTAGAGTAGATTCAAGATCTAACCCTACTCCTCTATGGCTTATACCAGTGTGTGAACTCCATGTCATTTTATGTATTGTTATCTCCACTGAAGATATTCTGTGGCTTCTTTCTTCCCTTCTGATGTCAGTACAAAATCTATAGTGCAGTATGTGCAGCCACTGTGAGGGCCTCGGACAGTTGTGTGGGGGTAAATGTGAATTGAGAGTAGTATGGGGAAAAAAAAAACCTTACCTTAATGGTACCTTTGTAACTGATTAGATTTAGTAATGGACTTGCAAATGAAGTTTAAACATTAATCTAAGAGCTCAATTAGGTAAGGTATTATGGTGCAGCAGAGATTTCTTCCATTCCCCAAGCAAGTAAAAAAAAAAAAAAAAAAAAAAAAAAAACCCTTAAAAATGAAGACAAAAATCAGCTTCTCTTCTTTCTTGTCTTTTGAGAGGTTTAGCAGAGGTTGTTACTGAATTAATGAAATACTATTGATTCATATATCCGTTCCAATAAGTGAAATGGAAAAGGATATCACTTCTGCTTCCTGCAGCAGTTTCGTATTGCAACTGGCGATAGTACTGAACCTCTATAGGCCTTAACATCTCCAAGAAAAGCAGGTTACATGCTCAGCAGAGAGATACTAGCAAGCCAACTGACTTTTTAGTCTAAGCTCATAAGGTTTCACTTTGCACTAAGAGTCATAAAGCATGCTTTCCATTATGATCTAGTTCCTGCACCCCATAGTGTCTGCTCCCAAACATTCAAATTTAAAGTCACATTGAACTGCAGTGTTTATAAGGGAATTAAGCACATTATTTAAAGTTAAGTGTGTGCTTTAATATAGCTCTAAATAGAAATGCTTTCCCGAATCCAGAATAGCAGCAAAGACTAATTCCTTCCACTGTAGCCTTGGTTGGCAGTATGGTGGGTTGGATGCCATAGTGTGTGCTGTGCAGCAGGTCGGACAGGATGGCTGGCTGCAGTCCTCCTTCATAGACCTCCAGCCTATGAATTGGACACATCGTCGATCAAACACTGACTTTCCAGATGGACTGTGTCCAGCGCAAGCGATCTGTGTTTAGAATAATAAGAGGGAAATAAAGACAGGCTGGGGTAATTAAACACAGGGGAGATCTTTTTCCATTCAGAGCCCCAGCCATCAATGTTTTGGATAACTTGTTCTATTAAAAAGCTATCTTGCTGTAGTGTATTTGAACAGCCCTTTATTCTGCACATTCTATTAAGGTTGCTCTAAAATTATTCCACTGAGTATTGCCAGCAGCTCTGAGACCTTTAGCATACAGCATTAAGTAGAAATGAATAAAGACTTGGCTAAAATAACACATGGCGACTCGCTTAAAAGGCGCTGTCAAGACATTTTATACACCTTTCTTTTCACTCTGCTTTGTTTATAATATTCCTCTGAAAAGCCTGGAAATGGCTGATTCCTCCCAGTGGCATTTGGGCGCTTACACTGCACAAACAGTCTGTCTTCAGTGGTGGTGTGCACATGCCTGGCTTCCGCCTGCTTGTGGCCTGGTGTGTGTGGCTGCTGTGCACCAGCAGCAGGGCTGTCTTGCTGAGCACTCCTCACAGTCATGGGATGGAGGCAGCACCTTGAGTGTGGGATTTGTAGACCCTAGAGGAAGACAGCAGTGAGACTTTAATGTCATTTCTTGGCTGGTAGTCTGTAGCATTGGTGTTCAGGTACTTGAATGCCCTCATGTTGCACAAACACAGGAGGTGTTGAAGAGTGCAGCTGCCCACTGCAGATCCCCACAACAAAGCTATGCTCAGAGAGAGATGCTTGCCCTAGATGCACTTAGTGAGGCCTCGCAGCCTTCAGCTCCTGTGGGGATGACAACCTGATGACACTCCTTGTCAGCAGGGTGACAACATTGCTGCTGCCTCAGTTTTCACACCCCACGGCTTCAGCTGGGACCCAGTCATGGGGTGAGTGCAAAGCAGCTTGGTGTCTAAGCTGTCTCCTTCAGTTGTGGGCTGACAGCCTCCACTGCATCATTCTGTGCAAGCTAGAAATTTTCCCTGGGTAGTGCTTTGAAGCAGGAAATTGTTTGCCTTGGGCCCCCCCCCACCCTCTTGCATTTGGCTGCTTTTGCAGCACATCCATCGCAGCTCCTCCTGCCCCTCTGTTGTTTGGCTGCCTTAGGAGAAGCAGGAATATGGAGCCAAATGACTGCATTAATGATTCAGTTCTCTCTGAGGTAGCACCAGTGCTATGACAGCTCTAATTATGGGAAAAAATGTGTTTAGAAATGCGGGGGCTTTTTATAAGACCCAAGGTCAGATTCTCTCCTGATCTATGCTAGTGTCAGTCAAGAGGATCTCAATGAGCCAGTGAGATCTGGTATAAAATACAGCCTTAGTCCTTTCCAGGTATCTCAATCAAGTGTAGATACCAGAACAGTTGCTTGTCAGCAGCAAAACCAAAACCATGCTGAAAGTAGCTGCTCAGCTTTTAGAGATCTATCCTCATTAGTGTAGGGGTTCCTCTTCTTCCGCTTTCTCCTTACCCAGGCCTGGAGCCACCTGCAGTGACAGTGGCAGCGCCTATTGTTGTGAGCAAGATATTAAAATCCAGATGAGGGAACAAAACTGGAGTTTCCCAAAATCAAAAAGTACCAGAGCATCCAAGATTTTCTAGATATGGGGCAGGGAGCAATTCCTTAACCCTTCACACATTACTGAGAGCAATGCTATCTACCAGCGCTACTTCATCTGCCTTTAAGAAGAAAGGCAACAGCTGTTTAATAGCACTATTTAACACTTCCTCACAGTTTATGACAAAATGGAAAGTGGAAATTGAACTTTTTTCAAAGATCATTGCCACTACTTTACCCACTTTTTCTAATTAATTGTCTGGTCCGGTCTCAAGAGACCTTGAAGAACAGCTCTTTCCAAGTACGTTTGTGTGAAAGCCCTTTTTGACAGCTTTTTTTTTTTTTTTTCCAGATTTGACAAGTTCCCATTTGTGAGACTCTTTCTTACTCTTTTCACAAGCCTACACATGAGTACTGCTTATCTTTTACTTTCCTTTCACCTGCCTTCCGTGAAGGAAGTCCTCCATATGAAGCTCTCTGGAAGCTGTCTACCTCAAACACAATTCTACAAAGATGAGTTTTCAGGGGAAGCCTTGGCATGAATTACTTTTGTAGTTTTTTGTCCATCAGTTACATTTTGACACATCATTCAATCTGACCTGCAATAAGAGATTGTTTAAAGAGAAAGCACCTTCTGTTTCCCTAAGGTTCTGGGTTCTCTATATACACCTCAGTATAGATACTTAGGCAAATCAATGTACTTTGATATATTCCTACCTGGAATCCTGCCTGGATGAATCCTACCAGGCATCCTGCCTGGATGCCTACCTGTGCGACCTGCTGTAGGGAACCTGCTTTGGCAGGGGGGTTGGACTCGATGATCTCTGGAGGTCCCTTCCAACCCCTACAATTCTGTGATTCTGTGATATACTTAAAGTGATTCAGCCCCAGCAGCGTCTTATCCTTTAAGTTCTCTTTGAATTACCCTTATGTCACATATTTCTCTCAGAAACAGAACTCAGGCTGCTGCTTGCATTATGAGGCATAACAAATAGCCACCCGTAAGATGGGAGATTTTACCCCTCCCTTGGTCCATTGCAAAAGGAAGGCAATATAACTGTAGAATCAGATACATCAAGTCAAGTATTGGAGGCAGCTGGTGGATGATACGTTGGTAGTGGGACCAAACTTGTCTTAGAACTTCTCTATTTATGAGTCACCTTTGAGACATCACTGAAGCTTTTTTGAGTGTATTTCATTCAAGACAGACTTATGGAGTTGAATTTGGTCTTCATACCTATACATATATACACACACATACACGATGTGAGACTATATATATTCTATACTATATATATAGTAAGCACACACTGCTTTGGTTGGCTGCTCTTCAGATTCAGGACACAAAAGTCAATGGTTTCATAATTCACCAACATTCCAGCCTTTCCAGCCTCTCAAACTATAATTGCTCTCTGTATTTTGTAAGAGCAGACTACAAGACCCACTGTCACTTAACAGTGCCTCATAACAGTGAGTACTGAAGTTGTACATTGCATTAAACTGCAAAATTGCAGCCAATAATGACGGCTGAAAGCCTATCTCTGACAAAAACACAAATATTGCTCATTAAACATTATGGGAGAGGACTATAAAAATCTTGCCTGGTCTCTCATTTAAGCAGTAAACAGCACAGCCAAAGCACCTGCTCCAAACAGCTCTGTAAATCTCTCTGTAAGGTATGGCATCCAGCACTGAACAATTAATTTGTCATCATGTTTATCTAGATTTTGAGGAAGGAAAGAGACTCCTGGTAAACCAGCCTAAATGTTTCTGGTGGTGCTCAGCCACCAGCACCCTGTCAGAGACCTCAACAATTCTGCACCCGACTAGGAATCACAGCTGCTTCCAGCAGTCAGCACTCTGGTAGGTAACATGATTCCCCCATCCTTTCCAAGGTAGATCACTTGCTAAAGTCAAGGAGAATTTGGCATCTGTACTGGCAGCCAGTTTGGCCCTTCAATATAAAGTATCAGTATGCAACTTCTGTGCCACTTGCCAACAAGGATTTGCTTTTACGGGAGGTATCCCTGCACAAAAAAATCACTAAATCACGTTAACAGTTTCATTGGTTATGTCGGTGAGAAATCTGTGTACAGACCATGCCAGAAGTTTAGAATTTTAAATACTCCTATTAGACGTTGTTAGTTGGCTAGGAATAAGTTACTATATTCAAAAGTCCCCCCCCACAAGATAAACCATTCTTCAGTAGTTGCTAAGCCAGTGAAATTGAAGACAGCCAGCCTCCAGTTCAGCATGCACCTTCACAAGAGAGAGCAGATCTCCTATGCTGCTCAGCCTGCACTCCCCCCAACCAGATGTGAGGCTTTTCAGGATGAGCATGAGATGCATGCATTCCTGATCAATCTTCCATTTGCAGACTTGTAAAAAGCCTTTAGCCATACATGGATTAATTATACATCACACACTGCTTTTGCAATCAAGAAGTAATATCACAGTTTTCCTGCAGAAACACCTTCATTTTGATGCAGCCTTGTAGGTCAGCATCTTTTCCTATAGCTGTGTTGGTAATCTTGAGAGAAGAGAGTGAAGAAATAAACTTACTAGAAATGTTTCATAGATTTCATTTTCTTGCTACAAACTTATATTTAAAATAATTAGGCTAAAAATATTGCTTAGGCACCTCACACAGGGCACCTAAATCTCTCATAAAAACATAAAAATGACCAAGTAGTAAGATGTACCAAGCTTCTCATATAGCTTCAATACTTTTGAAAATCAGGCCATTTAGGTAGCAAACAGGCACATTTGGAATGGTTTGCCTTAATTAGGTCCCTGGCGTTACACAGATTATTAGAAAAATAACTAAAGAAGCATTTTCATTCAGCAGGCAAAACATAATGCAGTGTTAAACTATTAAGCATAATTTGCATGAGACGTGGTATGCACACACAACTGCCTCTGTTTGAACTTTACAGTCTTTCTGTATAATATACTAGTAATAATTTCCCCCTTGTAATACTCAGTAGGCTTCTATTGCTTTGAGGGATATTAGGTACCTCTTTTGTAGGTAAAATGACAACTGCAAATGAATGGTAAGATTGTGTAGCTGAGTGGATAAAATACTTTAAATCATGGCACTATGATAAAGACACCACTATAAAGGTTGCAAATCATTTTTCACTTTAAGGTCAGAGTCTATGATTCCACTAACATTTTTAGATAATTTAAGTGAGTTCATTCTGTTTTAAATGTATCACAGATCTATATCGATATAAAGCTTTCTGTGCATGCAGAGACCATGCTCCTATTCCTTAGTAAGGGAAGATGCAACACTCTGTCTGGGATTGCAACTCAGGAAATTCTTTAATTTGGCTCGAACTGTCTTGAATCCATCCTGGATTCTTTCTCCTCCAGCTCAAGTGGTGTGCTCTCTTTTTTGTTGTTGTTATTGCTGTTGGGGTTTTTCTTGTTTTCTTTTTTTAATCACAGGGCCATCTTGCAGTGATAATGATCCTCATGACCTTAAGTATAAGGAGGAGGATCCCTTACCTTAGATACCTATCTCATACAAGACTAGTGGATTGCAGATTTGGAAATTTTCATGGAATTTATATGGGAGAATTATGCAGGGACTTAAGGGATTGTAAAAGAAATATTTCTCAAAGGTATTGCTGTGCTATTAGGAGATCAGTCTTCTACCAGGCTATCTGTCTGCACTAGGAAAAATAAAGTCCATGTTAAAGACTACCTGAGCCATGCCAGTGGGCTGCATGCAGGAGCAGGCAGGGCTTGGTTTCTGTCATGGAAACCTGTTCTCACTGCTGCTGTGAAAGCAATATGAGTTTTTTCAGTGTCTTAGCTCCGTAGAACCTGATGTTAGCTTTGTCTTGACAAATGCAACCTGAATGCTGTGATTTCCTCTGCATCATTAGGGAGGGATGACTTCAGGAAGGTGCTTTGACACGCTGGGAATTTTTCCAAGTCAACTTCTCACAGAAAAGAGTGAAAACAGCTAAAGCATTTCTCTTAGTGATGTCCTTGAGTCAAAGAGGAAGTTTTTCAGGGAAGTGCCCTGACTTCAGGAATTTCAGCATTACCTTCAGCTAAATCTAAAGGTTTGTGGCAGGAGCTCTATTCAGGTGGCCAAATTCTACTCCATACATGTATTTCTGCGAAGACTTGCATATCTTTCTCTTGAATTTAGAACTGTAGAATCGTAGAACAATCCAGGAAGGGACATCAAAAGATTATTGGAAGAGTTGGTAGAGGAAGGTTGGAAGAGACCGCCAAGACCATCTATTCCAACTGTCAGCCCATCCCATACTTACTAAGCCATGTCCCTAAGTGCCACACTTACACATTCCTAGAACACCCCTGGGAATGGTGATTCCACCACCTCTCTGAGCAGCCTGTTTCAGCTCCTCACAACTCTTTCTGAGAAGAAATTTTTCCAAACACCCATCCTGAACCTTCCCTGGAGCAACTTGAGGCCATTCTCTCTCATCCTATCACCAGTTATATGGGAGAGGAGGCCAACCCCCACCTTGCCACAACTTCCTTTCAGGCAGTTGTGGAGAGTGATGAGGTTTCCTCTGAGCCTCCTGCAGACAAAGCAATCCCAGCTCCCTCATAAGCACTTCCCCATAAGCCTTAAGTCCATAAGTGTTCCAGTCCTCTCACAGCTTTGTTGTCCATCTCTGGACACACTCCAGGGTCTCAATGTCTTTCTTGTAACAAGGGGCCCAAAACTGACCACTGCACTCAAGATGGAAAAAATAAAATAAGAAAAAACACAGTCCCCTGCTACCACAAGTCATGCCATTGAGTTACCTGCATCTGGAAAAATCACAGGACTCAGCACACCCAAAATGCAAGTAATGAGTCTCACTCTGCCTGATCATGGTGTGTCTACTGCCAGGTAAAATCACCAGATCCAACCTTTGGTGAGAAAGGGAACTTAGATGACTCTGCACCTTGCACGATACATCTTGGGGGAAAGAAAATAAGAAATGTATTATGGCAAAGCGGAAGCTCTCCCGGAGCAACTTGCAGCCAGTGCCCCTTGTTTTCGCCATGAGGTTTCTTGCAAAGAGAGGCTGGAAGAGCTGCGGGGCTGAATTAAACCTCGGATTAACGCCGGCGCGCTTCGAGCTCCCCCTCCTGTCGCCGAGTCGGTGCCGAGCCCAGCCCGACTCCGTACAGCTTGGCTTGGCACCAGCTAGGCACAGGAGCTTTCCAGAGTTTGGGAGAAGATAGGGGTGTTGAGAACCAAGGAAGGAGGCTGGGGAGGGAAGCTCGCTTTTGGAGCTGAAGTCATTCGTTAAAGGTGAGCACAGGGTAAAATGAGTCAAGAAGCTGCTCACTGCAGACTGAAGGTAGGAGGGAAGAATTTAATTCACTGCTTGTGGGCATTCACCAAAGCCTGAGCACAAGTCTGAGAGAGAACAACGTGTGTTTGTGCTGCCTGCAGCCCAGCCAGGGAATTCCATCACAGCACGGGTACAGCAGGTGGGAGTTTCCCCCAAAAAAATCCCACCTCAGTCCCCATCTCTAAAATCCAACAAGGACATCCAGGGCCACGAAGAATGTGGGGCTGCCAGAGTATAGTACAAAACCCACTTGTCCCTTCCCAGATCAGGACACCCGGTGGGACAGGTTAGAAGTACCATCAAGGAGCACTCACCACGGAGCAGCCCCTTCCTCTGAGTCAGAACTTTGAGCCTGTTGGTTTCCGTCAGATGCTTGTGTTACTGTTACGGTATCTAAAAACAAAGCAGAGTTTTAATCTTAGAAACAAGAGATGGGGAAACCTTCCAGCTGTGAAAGGTTTGACTCAAAAGGCAAAAAAAGCACCCGGTTGTTCCTAGTCAGCCTCAGAAACCAGAGAAAGCAGAATCCCCACTTCCCAGCCACCTCCTTCGCCTTGGCATCAGGCTCCTCTCCCGAAATGCGAGTGGGTGGAGGTGTACTCACAGGCTGCAGGGAGTTCCTGAGCCGGCAGGCTGCCAGCTTCGGGTTTTCTTAACTGTTGCTTCCACTGTCAGCCGCCGAGATTGTAACAGTGGCATTTTTAATAAGGTGAGGGCAAAAATTAAAAAGAGGCCATCAGATCAGGCAGCAGCCCTGGGACAATTTGTAAGTTGCGGTTAAGAGAGGGAGATACAGGAGATTTGCCGAGTTCAAAGGTCTTCATTATTAACGTTCCAGTAGCTGACTTGATAGATGGTCTCTAGCCTGTGTCCTCTTATCCCTTCCACTTTCCTTCCTAAAGACAAATGCTTAAGACAAATCCCTAGATGGAGGGATAGGATCTGTAATAGATTATTTCTTATTACATAGAAATTGGTTAATAATTTACTAATCCAATTTCAGTGTTTCGCCCCCCACTTCAATTAATCTTTAGAATATAAAATAAATGCTGTTCTTCGTTCTTCCAATGCTAATGAAGAAAGGAACTAATGAGGAGACCTGACCTTGGTACCTTTTGAAAGATGATGTAGCTGCATAGGAGTTAATTTTCTTTTTTTCTCTCCTTTTATTTACTTGTTCTCCTTGAATGCAAAATCCACCCATAAAACAGCAAGCTGTACAAGATGGTTATGAGCCTGATTTCAAGCATGTCACACAAGTCTTGCTTTAGCAAAATTCCATCTCCTGCAGAGTGTTACAAAATCATGCATATCTACACTCTTCCACTCTGGAGATAAATATTTTATACAGACACTTTATACAAAGTCAAAGTCAAATAAAACAAGATATGAGAACTTTTACACAGTGCCTCAAACTGCTGTCCACCACTCTGGAACGGCGCTTTAAGATTTGGCAGATGTAGAGAGTGATTTATTTCTAACAAATTCAATCTGTGGCTCTGTGGCCATAATGCATTTCAAAGAGATTTTTTT